AAAAAAAAACCCTGATTTTTTTTGGTTTCTCTTGGTGTGTTTTGCTTGTTTGAGGCTGAGGGAATTAGGGATAATTTTCCGTTTTAAAATATTTAAAGGCTGGAGAGCAAAATATTAAAATGAGGTCTGTGAAATCCCGTGGGGAAGCTGGTGATGAGCAGAAAATAACACGGGCTGAGGCTCCCTCATCCATGAGCTGGGCAGATGAGACCTTCAGGGTGGGTGTGCTGGAATCTGCCCTCCTGCAGCTTTCGAGGAGCTCCTTGGCTGGGGGAGTTTGGCTGCTGGCACCTTCCCAGCTTTATCAGGGATTCTGCTGGTGCTGCAGCCTAAAAATCACATTTTTTTTTCCCTCCACCTCTGCCCCACCTCTGCACCTGGAATGATGCAGGAATTCCCCAGCTGTGCTCCCAGAATCTCTCCTGATCTCCCATGCTGCTGGATTTACCCAGGCCAAGCTCCTGGGAGCGTCCATGCAGCATTCCCAGTGTTGTGGGAACTTCAGGGAATTCCAGGGCAGCTGCCGGGAGGATCCCTGTGCATCCCTCCTTCCCACTCCCCATGAGCACCGTTCTGCCTCTCCCTCTTCCCCCTGGCTCATTCCAACAACGGCTCTTTCATTCCCAACATCTTCCCCCACGCGGGGCTGGGCACAGGGGAAAGTCAGGATTGTTCCCATTCCCACGCTCCTGCCAGGGAATCTGAAGGGATCTGAAGGGATCTGAGGGAATCTGAAGGGATCTGAAGGGATCTGAAGGGATCTGAAGGAATCTGAAGGAACCTGAAGGAACCTGAGGGAATCTGAGGGAATCTGAAGGAATCTGAAGGAACCTGAAGGAACCTGAAGGAATCTGAGGGAATCTGAAGGAACCTGAAGGATTCTGAGGGAATCTGAAGGATTCTGAAGGAACCTGAAGGATTCTGAAGGAATCTTAAGGAATCTGAAGGAATCTGAAGGAATCTGAGGGAATCTGAAGGAACCTGAAGGAATCTGAAGGAATCTGAAGGAATCTGAAGGAATCTGAAGGAATCTGAGGGAATCTGAGGGAATCTGAAGGAATCTGAAGGGATCTGAAGGAACCTGAAGGAACCTGAAGGAATCCCCCGTGAGCTGCAGAGTGGAGCCGTGGCTGGAGCAGCCTTGGGCCGTGTCCAGCCCCCGTGGATCCCAGGATTCCTGGCTGGATGCCGAGCTGCCGGGAGCGCTCCCTGCTCCCCAGGAATCCGAGGCACCTCCCCGGGCTCGGAGCTGTCTGGGGCACATTTGAGCTGTGTCTTGCTGAGTGAGGGATGAATTCCAGCCCTGCCTCCCTGGCGGGGCCCTGTGGGTGGAATTCCAGGTGAAATGCCAGCCGGGAGCAGATTGGATCGGCCCGTGGCACCCGGCTGCAGCGCCCTGTGCCAATATTTGCTCTGGGAAGTGTTTGGCCGAAGGCTCCGGCTCTCCCAGGGTGAAGCCCTTGGATGTGTCCCCGTCCTGGATCCAGGGAGCCCAGACTCGTTCTGCTCTTCCACTCCCAAAATGTTTGCTTTGCTTTTTAACCCTTTCCGTGTCTGCTCGTGCTGTCCCTTCCCAGGCTGGCCTTGGGAGAGGTTGGATCCCAGCCAGGGGAGCAGGGATGTATCCCAAGCCTTCTCCTGGCAGCTCAGGAAATGGAAATGCAGAGGAATTGTCAGCACATCCTCCAAAAAGCCCCATAGCTGCTTCCTGGGGGAAGGGCTGCTGGAATCTGCAGCGCCAGCATTGCTCCAACTGCCTCCCCGTTCCCTTGTGCAATGGATGGATAAACCCTTCCTTCCTTCCTTCCTTCCTTCCTTCCTTCCTTCCTTCCTTCCATCCTTCCTTCCTTCCTTCCTTCCT